TCTTCACGTTCTGTGTGACATCCATTCCCCCTTTCCCTAACGCCCAAAAATGGACAACAAGCACTCCAAACCCTCCAAATCCATTTGAAAAAGCCTCCACTGCGTCTGCTAAATCCGCCTTTTTGATGCCATACTTCCCAACCATTGTCTCACAAAACTCTATATCCTTTATTATTTTCATCTTCTTCACTAAGTTGCCACCAACACGCACAAAGCACTCGACAATTCTCTTCCCGTTTTCTGTGAGTTCCGTTCCAATCATCTTGTTCACAAGTGGATCAAGTTGGCCGGGTGAAAGGACATATCCACAGTTCAAAAGTGTTCCAACAAAATCAGTGATCTCTTCCGAATCACTAAACTTAGAAATGTATTTTGAAACCATTTCATCAGACAAAACAGCAGAATCCCCAACAACGGGATTGGACGCGACCAAGTAACTCAACATTCGGAGATCCTTTGGGCTCTCGAGATTAGCCAAAGTCTTTTTCAATTCATTCACAAGAACAAGCGGACACTTCTGGTCAAGTCCGATGATCTGGACAATTCGTTTTAATTTTTCGACATTGGGAATGTAGTAGTTGATGTTCGAGAACACAAACGCTGTCACATTTCTTTGATACGCAGTGTCATAAATATCACAGCTCTGGACTGCATTACACAGCACGTCAATGTCATCGGGGTTCGTCACCTCATACGAAAAAAGTATTTCCAAGTCACTTTTAATGCATTTCACAATTTCGACTAAATACGTCTTTTTCTTGTCTTTGATAAAGTCGATGTAACGACTCAATACGTCAAAGTACTTCTCTCTGAATTCGGAAAATGACAAAAGTGCTTTGACAGCAGATGCCTGCGACGCAGTACAATTAAAAGAGACAAGGCTGGAATACCCAAGTGAATTTCCCCCAAGGGAGTACATAGAAGCATTCTCCAAATCAACGATCCCTCTTATAACAGCTCTTCTAAACACTTCCAAAGTCGTCTCATCGTCCACCAATAATTGTTGTGACAAGCGTGTATATTGCCCAGTAAATAAGAACAACTGTATGATTCCAGAAACATCATTAGCATCAACCAATGTGACTAAATCATTTTTCACTGATAGAAACGACTCTCCACAGACCATGGTTTTGACGTAATCAAAGGTCGACGAGAACAATAGTTTTCGAGCCGTTGAGTACTTACAAGTGGCTGAGAGGGGGGATTTGGTGTTGATCAATGAAAACAAATGGAACAGTTGTTGTGACATATCGATGTATTCGAACAGACGACGCACATTCCCCTCAGTAATGCACAAAGCAATTGTGGTAAGGATTTCCTCTTGGCAATACTCGACGGAGAAGAACACGATAGCGTGCAACACGGCGTCGAGAATCACATTTTTGATATCTTCGTCGCAGACGTCGATATATTGTTCGAACGCTGGAATATTTCTTATAATGGTTTGACATTCATTAAGGAAGGAAGGTACTGTTTCTTCAAACCGTTCTGTTGAAGGGAGGGAAGTGATATGTAACGAGTGTAAGCAAAGAGGTACAATGTTATTTAAATGTTCTGTCTTTAGATATGTAGTTCCTGATATCATAAAGAAAAGTCCGCATGTCGCTGTAGTGATCGGAAGGTAGTTTCCTGTGTCGTTAGCAATAATAAATTTAACAAATTCGGGGTACGACGGTTCTTGCTCTGGAAGTCCTGGAATCGATCGGCGAAGATATTGGTACACTTGCTTCTCTAAATCACTCATTTTCTGATTTTTCTCTTTTTTTTCTTTTCTTTTGTGTTTCTTCAAAATTTCTTGGTTTTTGCGATTTCTTCAGAATTATTAGGGTTTTTATTCTGTGATTAGTTTTTGAATACAAAATGCACATTTTTTTTATTTAACGAGTTGTTTTTTATTGGTGTTTCGTTAATTAAATAGAAAAACAATATGGAAAATATAATAATAAAATGACGTTAAATAATCGTAAAAATTGGAAATAAATACGTTAATTTAAAAAATCAATAATTCACGTGAATAAAAATTTAAACTATTCAACATATATCCATGAAATTAAAAAGAACTATAAAAATGAGTACAAAGGTATTTCAGTGACTTAGCAATAGTGTGACAAGGTCACTGGGTGAGAATTTTTTGTGGTACGATGGGAAGAGGTTTATGTCGATGACAAAGAGCTTTTGAGTCTTTTTATCCAAAACGACATCGACACCGAGGAACGGGAGTTTTAACGAGTCGTAGACGCTATATGCGATGTTCAGCACATCATCTTGATTAAGGGGAATTGTTCTCTTCGCTATTTTTGCTTTTTCGTTCTTGAAAGTAGTCTGTGGTACTGATGCGTCAACGTTTTCGATGGCATCTTCCCATTCTTGTAACACCACCTTCCGACCAATTAAATAAATTTTCAAAATGAGACCGTCGTGGTCTAAATATTCTTGTACAAAACATGGGTAATTGATTGTATTTAATACGGGCTGAAAAAGAATAGACATTTGTCTCGACCCCCCTTGTGAAACGTCGCATTTTGCAATTAACGGAAGATTTACTTTGCGAGTAGATACGACATTCTCAAGGTCTTCTTGACATCGACAATATGAATAACTTGGGATACTAATATGATGCTTTGAAAGTAATTCATTCAGGCGGTATCTCGAGAGTAGCTGTTCTTGTGTTTCTACATCGTCGGCATACATTTTCTGTGTGTTTGCATTCACAAGGTCAACGTATGAAGTTTTGTCGCAATGGGATGCCGAAGTGAAGATATAGTCATACTCCCCATAATACTTTGTTCCAACTTCAATTGTATAATTCTGCCCTTTAATAGCACACTCCGCCTTCTTGTAATTCTCCCATCCAATTTTTTCAATTTTACTCTTATCAACATAAAATAAGACTCTCTTTGTTTGACTCATTCACTGTTTATTATGTCTAAAGGTCTTAAAAACAGTTCAAAACACTTTGAATAGAATCAACCGTCATATTATGACGGGGTTTTTAACGACAAACAATCTCGAATAGTAATGAATGGTAAATAAACTAGTCATGAAACTATATTGACTTCCTGAAAACCCTACGAAAATACAAAACACAATATCGAAAAAATCAAAACCTGAACTGAATAATGAGCTTTGGATCTGTGAATCAAATTATGTTACCGATTGATACATCAAAGCCATTTATTGAGATGCTCCCCACAGATATACCAAAGCCATTTATCACTACCACCCCATATATTATTACAACCCCAAAACCTATATCGAAATTAAATATTCCACCATTGGACGTCCAACAGGAACGGTTGACACAGTCTGTCGACCACCAAACTTTACAGAGATCGCACCACTTCCCTCAACAATGCCAAAATACACAAATTGGAGCCCAAATGAGTCAACAAGTCTCACAAAGTGTACTACAAAATGTGAACCAAAGTGTGACGAACATACCCAATATCACAAGTGGCAGTGTTAAATGTGAAATGGCGAACTCCCCGACTTTACCATTTCCAGAGAAAGTCGAAAAGGAAAAGAAGGAGGTCCGGATACCAATACTCCAACAGAACACAAAGGCGCCAAAGGAGAAGAAGAAACCGGACTGGGAACGACTGAAACAACTCTCAAAGACTAATGAAGCGTGTCAACAGGCGGTCTTCATTGGTCTTTTAAACATGTTTGGCTATGAAATTGGAATTGAGAGAGTCTACAAAATATCAAAGAAAACGTTTCCCCTGTTGACGATCAACTTTGTGCACAAATACACGAAGGACGGAATAGTCGATATGGACATCACCGTCATGGCGCAACGGATGTCCGAGGAAATGCTCAAGTCGTCGTCCGTTGAAGATAAAAAGAAGAGAAGACAACACAAGAGGAATATGGATGCGTCCATCTGTAACTCGTTGATGACATATTTAGAGAAGGAAGGGGTCAAGTTTGACTTGAAGGGAACGAGGTCTGCCCAATTCACAATGATCATGAAAAAGGTCAGAGATGTTGATTTAGTGTTGTTCAATAAGCATAGAAGAATCAGTCAAAAGGAGTTGGTGAATATAGGGAAGTACGTGAATAACCATTTGGTCAAAATGATGGGGGGAATGAAAAGAAGAGCGGTGTCGTCGGAGAAATATATCAAAGTGGAACCGTTTGAAACAACTATAACGGGTATCTTTCTGAGCCATTTCAATGGACTCCTCATCGAATTCGACGACTCAACAAAATGTGTCGACATCGATAATGACGTACATCAGGACTTGCAGGATACTAGCATGACATATCATACACTAAGTAATCTACAACCGTCGTACGCATCGAAAAAACTGAAGTATCCACTCGAGTTTTACGCTTTCGTCAGACAAGACGTACTTGACTTTATACACTCGACGTTCTCTTAAATAAAAAGAAAGATGTATAGTGATAAATTTGGGTTGAGTTGTATCATTTTTTATTAATTAATTATAGTTATTTTTCTTCCTCAAATCAATTCAAAACAAATTTTGTGTCATTACTATATTAACTGTTGTATTAATAATTATGGTACATGAAAAACTATTTCATATTATTTTTAACGGTGTTCAAAATATATTGTAGATTTTGGTTAAAAATATTTAAATTATAAATTCAATTTATTTTTTGTTCTATTTTTTCTATTAATTATATTATATAATAATAATAGTTTTTTTATAATACAATTATAAAAAATAAATATAGTATTTATTTGTTAATATTTTACAATAAAAATAGTAAGTAATATAATATAAATTATATTACTTATTTTTTTAATAATACAAAAAAAAATTGTATTATATAGTATAATATAATATAAAAAAATAAATAAATATAGTATATACTATATTTTGCAATAAAAGATAGTATATACTATATATATAGTAAGTACTTTAATATTTATAGAATAAGGTAATGAATTGAGAAAACACACAAAAAAAATAAACTAGATTTTGTTGAGTGAATGAGTTTGAATGAGATAGACTTAACGAATTCCCAAGGCATTGAACTCGATGGGGAACCGCAGTTTGCGGACCACGAAAATCCGACTGTTAACGTTCTTGAGTCTATTTCAGACGATTCAATATTTACTATCACGCAATATTTAACGCCCGAGGACTTGATAAATTTCAGTCAAACGAATCGAAGAGTCTGGTACATTTGTAAGCGAGACGAAGTGTGGACCTCTTTAGTGTTGAGTAGCACTGGTCGTGTGACTTACACGAAGAGAGATGCGATCCGCAGTTTAATTGATAAAAAACAGGAGGACAACGATCAAGAGAATACGCGGATTGAATTCCGCAAAATGGAACGCCAAAACAAGCTTGAGCACATGCTCTTCACCATGAGGGATTGCTGTAATTTCATATCAAATGACTTAATCGCAATACTCTTTGGCATCTTTGGATTGGTGTTATTACAAGTTGAGTTGGATGGATATGTCAATGTGGGCTATTGGCTTGTCGTGCTGCTATTTCTCCCTCTTCTCATTGTTTTAACGATAGTGCCTATGACCAACTTTTGCACAGGGAAACTAACAGACGACGATGAACCTCCTGTCCGGTGGTACTCCTCTCCTATTGAAACAATCCGATATCTCTATATCTTCGGACGAAGAGGTGCTGGGATTTTGACAGAACCATGTCTGGTCATCAACTACGTAATTCTCTTTGCTATAAGTCTTGGACTGAGTTACTTAGTTATTATCCCACCACTCTTGATATGGACATTGATTTGGATTTTCTTTGGGTGCTTCACGTTTTCAAGACGACCAATTGTCTCGGTCCAGATTTGGAGAGGACTACTGGCAATACCTGTTGGTATTGTTGTGTTTATTGGCATCATTTTGGTTGTTGTAAAGATAGAGGATGTCATAGATGTGTCATTTCATATCATCTTCATACCATTTTACTTTCTACTTGGTGTCATATTCATATTCCCAATGGTTTCTTTCTTTGTATTTTGTGGGTTGTGTCTCTGTGGTAAATCATACGATACAGACTCGTGTTGCAACAAAATCTGTTGGCTCGATGTCACAAATTCCGATTTGGCTGCGTTACAGAGTCTATTTGTGATGCTGGTGATCAGTATAGTGTGTCCCTTCACGATGACATTTATTGCGCTGTTGGCTACAAACTTCGATGGGAGTGACGATGTATCATATTTTGTCACATTTATTCCAATCGACATTCTGGTCATCTTCTTGATCATTTTGTATGGAGTCGGGAAAAGGTATGAGTTGACTCGACTCTGAATTCAATTCTCCACTGTTTAATTAACCTCTTTACTTCGATTGATCCACTTCAAGTATTACCAACGCGAATAACCCACTCAAGACATCTCTATAACGGAACAGAAGTCGAAGAACAGTTAATTATTTCAAATTGTATTACTCTTCCATCCAATCAACAGTTTGAAGCCAATACTGGTCAAGGTTGGAGTGTTGGGCTTGCCACGATTTATAGTCTTCTGCTTTCTTCTTGAATTGTTTCAACATCTTTTTAGTCATTTGCTTGACCATCGTGTCACCCATTAAAGTGCTTGGAACCTTTCCTCCCATGTCGACGTGGGATAAGGTATACACTAAAGTGCCGACATTAGGCACTTTGGTGATTAAAGTCCCTTGTACGTAGATGTGCCCGCGGGTTGTGCCCTTTTCGGGTTTAATTTTTGTGTTCACTGATTTGGAGTAAAGGATGTAATCAGTCTTTTCTTTGTTGTGATATCTAATGAGCTGATATACGAAGTCTCTGTCGTCCATTAATGGCATTTTTTGTACTCTGTGGATGACCTCATTGCAGCAATCAATTTTGTCAACAACATCAAACTTCAAATCGTTTGACTCTTTGGTTGCTAAGTATTCTCTGTCACACAGACTGGAAAAGACATACTCTGGCTCAGCATCTTTGACTTGTTTGGTGATGCATTTGAATTTCACTATACTCCCCTCTGTTTTTTGAGTCAAGACCATCACATCGTCAGTGCGATAGATCTGTTTCCACCCATCCTGTGACTCGGCAGCCTTCTTAAAATCCATTATAACGGATTTTGTATAGGCTTCATGTGCTTCGTCTTCCGCCATTTTTTCTTTGTGCAATCTTTTTTTGTTCGTACAATTAGGTCACTCTTTTTTTTCAACGGTTTTCATTTCCTCTTTTTCTCCCTCATTCTTGGGCTGGTCTTTTTTACAACATGCACCACAGTTCCTCTTTGTCCATTTTTAAACTATATTTGATAGTAAATTGTATTATAAAAGGTAATTGAAACATATTTTTGGGAAATGTGTTTTTTGCCTTTAAAACAGACAGTTCTGGTGTTGTCTAATCATAGACTAATAAATTGAAGCAATAAAGTTAGTTGATTGAAAAAAGAGAACAACAATAACCCGACTTTTTGGATCATTGTTAGAATAAATATATAACACATATCAGTTAACAATTATTAAAAAGTGTCAACATGCACAACGTCATTTCTGTCGAAAAAAACATCAAATTCAACAACAAAAAGTAATATAAGGCGCAATTATTTTTAGTTCCTTTTTACAAAAGACAATTTTTAAATTGATGACGAATTTTATTAAAACTTTTAGTATACAGTTTGTTTGCCAATTTTTTACAGAAGTCTTTGGCAATCATTAAAAAAAAACTAATTATAAAACAAACCTTTTAATAATGATTTAATTTTTTTTATTTAATTGTTAACTTACCATTTTTTTTGTAGAAATTTGTTAATTACCAAAAAAATACATTCGAGTTACCTAAAAATGGAGATAATTATAAATTATAATAAATTAATGTATTTGGTATAATAAAAATATTATTAACACAATTATTCTTTTTTTGTTATTAATGAGACAAAAGTTTTGACACAATAATACTTATTTTACCTATTGTCCAATCTCATTTGTCAAAACACAAAATCAAAATTTGTATTTTTTTTCTGAAAAATTATTTTTGAATAACAAATCCAACACCAAAAATGTTATTTATTTTGAGGTTTTTCATCTCAAAAATGATCTCAAAAATTACTGCTTTTCTCCCCAAAACTCCTCATAAGTCTTTCCGTTCCAGCACTCCTTGAACATCACGTCTCTCTTTTTCAAGTCTCTATCCTCGAGTTGCTTCATGTCTTCTTCTTCGATTTTCCAATCAAATAAGTCGACATTTTGTTTGAGGCGATTTGCGTTAGTACTTTTGGGTACCGAAATGACATTGCTTTGACCCAAAAATTTCAAGCAAATTTGAGCCGTTGATTTTGAGTACTTCTGAGCAAGCTGCACCACAACTTCGTCATCCAAACAGGACTTCACGCCATCTTTAGACATCCCCCCAATTGGTCTGTACGCCTCGACGACTATTTCATATTTATCGCAAACTTTTCTCAGTGCTTTTTGCTGCATATAAACATTCATTTCAATTTGGTTCACAACGGGTTTGATTCGACAGACTTTCATAATTTTCTCAATTTGGCGCTCGTTGAAGTTTGAAATACCAATGGATTTCACTAGCCCTTCATCAACTAACTTTTCCATGTCTTTCCATGTGTCACAGATATCCTTTTCAATGAAGTCTTCCGTCTTTGGTGGGAATGAAGAATTCTCTTTGACTGCAACGGGCCAATGCATCAAGTACAAGTCTAAATACTTACATTTAAGGTCTTGGATTGACTCTAAACACGACTCTCGTACTCTGTTCACTTGGTCGATCCACAACTTTGATGTCACAAAAATATCAGTGCGTTTGTGCGTCTGCAAATATGGACCAATCCCAACTTCCCCAATTTCCTTCTCATTCTTGTAAAAGCGGGCACAGTCTATCATCCTATAATTTTGCTCTAATGACAATTGAACAGCTGCACCCACCTCCCCTGGTTTTGCCAACCAAGTTCCCAACCCAATAGCTGGCATAAAGTATCCATTGTTCAGAATGAAGCCATGTTGCATTTTAATTCTTTTATAAGTTTCATTCATATAACTTTTTATATGTTATGAAAAAAATTAAAGTGTAAAATACATCGCTTTTTTCGAATATTTCGTATAGAAGTCCAATCATTTTATTGTTTTGAGGAAATATAATTGTTAATGAATAATATATTATCACAAGTTGTTCGGATATAAGATTCAATTTAATTATTAAAAGACCAACTTCTTTCATGTAATTATTAAATTGGGCATTGTTTTGTTTCTTGTAAAACAAAATTAATTAAATTCTTAATTGTTATTTAATTATAGTTTTAATAATTCATTGTATTATTAAACACTCTAATCAATTAACTTGTTTTTTCTTAACCATTATTAGACAAATAACTAAGAATTAGCCATTGTTTTAAGTAAAAAATATTATAAAAATTTGATAAAATTATTATTATGTCTAACAATGTTAAAACTCAATATTATTTTTTGTGTTAATACATCAAAAAATTTAATATTTTATTAGAGCAAAATAAAATAATTAAGTACAATAATATTTAATAGTATGATTGATGCTCTGATATAAAATATGTTATATTGTGTTAAGTTGTATTAATAGTTTAAATAGTATTAATAATAGAATTAAATAACTTGTAAAATTAAACATCGCCAATGAATCAAACATAAATGAAGAACAAGAATATTATGTTTTAACTTTAAAGGATGAAACACTTTCCCTTTTGCTTTTCTTTAGTACTTTTTCCTTCACCGGCGCCACCTCTTTGTTTCAAAGTAAAGCGAACTGCTTGATCGAAAATATCTTTCAGACCAGTACGTTTCAAAGCCGAGCACTCCATATAGCAATAGGCTTTTAACTCTGCTGCTAACTTATCACCGTCTTCTTTTGTGTAAGGTTGTTCGCCATTTTCGCTCATTGTTTTCAATTCTTTTATATCTTCACGGAGATCTGTTTTTGTTCCAATAACCATTAACTTCGCAGTGGGGCAGTGATGAAGGACTTCTTTGACCCACTATATGTCATTTCTATATACTAATGACATTACAAACAAACTTTGTCTCGGACATTAACGTAAGACGCATGATACACAACAGAGAAACACAATAAAAAGATATCAGTTTGTGGATACGACAATGGACGCAAACTATTGTACTCCTCTTGACCTGCTATATGTCAACGTATTGTGTTTGAAAATACAGGAATACTTATATATTTATTAATGTGTTTTGTTATATAAAGTGTTATAGAAATACCATTAAATACAAACCAGTGTCCCATAGACCAAGGTTGATTTTTTTTTCATCGACTGTCACATTTGCAACATAGTTGTCAAACACAGTTGGGATATAATCAGTAGGGAACTCATCAGACGTGTAACACATCAACATACACGTCTTCCCCACATTTCCATCGCCCACCACTACAAGCTTCACATTTTCAGCCATTAAAACACACGAAGTGAATTTTTAAGTTTTTCAAGTTTAGAGAGTTCTTTTTTCGCTCTTCATCTTTTAGTATTTGCTTTCATTTTTACAGACTGTTTTTATACGAAAAAACTCTTTTCACCTTCATTTCTTCACTCTTTCTGTTTTTTTGGTGAGAAGAATGACTTGAACTATTATTTATAGTTGTTTTGCTAATACTATTTAACTATTTTTCTTCTTGTTTTTGGAAAGCAAATATGGGAAGTTTAAATGATTTTAAGCTAAGAGGTATTGTTTATTTTATAGATTCATATCAACTGTTTATTATAATTGAAAACCCATTTCAAGTTTTTATTTGTTGTCTTGTTGTTTTTTCGATTTTTATTTAAAAATATTATTTTATATTTAACTAATTATAATTTGATTATAATAAATATATTTATATTTAAAATTTTTTTATAATTTTATAATTTAACAATAAAATTTATAATTTTTTATTATTCTTCTTTTACAATAATTTTATTTAACAAATTACTATATTTATTAATTACCAAATATAAAATTGTTTTATAATTTTAATATTATGAAAAAAACAATAAAAAATGATTTGTTAAAATAATAAATTTATTAATAAACTTTAATATTCACAATTTTTATATTTTTTGAACTTTTTTTTGTAAAAAAATAAAATTGTTAATTATCTTTGTAGTTTTACGTCAAACTTAATACAATGAAAAATTAAAAATTTTTCTCTTTTATAAACTTTTTAAAATAATAATTATTTATAGAAAATGGATTTAAAAAGAATAGAGTATACTTGCAAACCTATACTTTATAGTATTTTCCTTATAGTGTAGTAACAACATGATAACGTACAGAATTTTTTCATTCTTCAGAAAAGCCAGTCTTCATCTCTAAACTAATTATCCCAGGCCAATGAACGACTTTGATTCTATCGTTCAATTGATTTTCAGTTCTGCAAAGAAGGTTCGTTCACTTCGAGCACAGTATGATGAATTGCGTCAAATGACTTTAGCGTCCAACTTTAAACAAGCACTGAACAATGGATCTAACAAGGAATTTTTTGAGAAAGTATTTGTCCTCTTAAAAGATTGTCCAGTGAAAGAGACTGCTATAATAAAAGGATTAGTCGACCTTATTGAGTATTCATATTGTAGATGTTTCATACCACAACATATGTACACAACAGCAGTAGAGACGGTGCTTGAGTCTTATAAGTACTCACCAAACCTCACAGTAAACAATTCGTTTATTAACTGCTTGAGACAGTCAACACTCTCACCAATCCATCCTACACACGACGATCTCCTTTTGAAGTCGTTCCAAGTACTCTTCGATGCGTCGCTGATGACAAACATTCACACAACAACGTTGTCAAATTGTGTCGACGACATTGCGGAGATCATTAAAGGGTTACTCATTAACACTGAAATTGCAACGATGAGAAGTTCGGAAGAAGAGACACGCCCGTCTGGACATTCTCGAAACTCCTCGACTAGTCCAGTGACTCCAATTTCACCAGTGTTCTCCGACGTCTCTAAATCGTTTGCAGATTCGTTTGAAATTTTGGATTTCTTGTACACGCTGACCACGACTCGGTGGTCACAACGAGAAATTGGGTCGCAGTCGTTTAAATATTTTATTCAGACGATGACAAACGAAGCGAAGGAAATGATCGACTTGAAGTGTAAAATACAAGCGATTCGATTTTTAACGGTGTGGATTTCAAACTTTTCAAATGAAATTAAAAAGTCTGACATGTTTTTGAAATCAGAGAGACAACGTGTGGTGGTCCAGAAGATCACAAACACTGCTATTTATTCCTTGACTGAAGAACTCTTGTTCACTGAAGGAATCTCTTTGATCAAAGCAGTGTTAGACCACCCCGACTTGTTTAAAGGACTCCTCAACGAACTCTTTTACGTTGTTTTTGTGTCTGTTCTGAGACACCCAAACACAACGCAGTCGATGAAACTGAAGACGTTGGAAGTGTTCAATAAAGTCACTGAAAAGCGGATGCTCCCACAATTGTACATCAATTGCGACTGTGAGTTGTATGGTGAAAATGACGTGTGGAACATATTCAATATACTGCTGTATGTATCGGAGAACGAGAGCGATGAACTAGTCAAAAAGGCTGCACTGAGCACTCTTCAAATTTTGATTAACTCCCTCAAACAAGACGTTGTCGAGCCAACTCACGGTGAAATTGATATTGAAGAGCTCATCCAACATAAAACCCGTTTTGTGGAGATTTGCAAGATATTTAAAGAAGACGCCAAGAAGGGGATGAGACTGTTCTTCGACGAAAAGTTTTGCGAGGAGACACCTGAAGGTGTTGTCGCGTTCTACACAAACCACATCGACCTCGACAAAGTTGCTATCGGCGACTATGTTGGGAAACCGGACCCTTTTAATGTCTCTGTATTGACAGCTTTGATTGCGTCACTGAATTTTAAAGGGAAGGAAATAGATGAAGCGCTTCGTTTAGTTTTTGAAGCGTTTGTGATGGGAGGGGAGTCACAAGTTGTTGACCGCGTGATGGAGAGTTTTGGTAAGTTTTATTATGAAGAGAACAAAGAGCGTCTCGTTGCCTTAAATTTGACGTCGGACAACGTCTATCAGTTTGCGACAAGTGTGATATTTCTGTCGACGGAATCCCACAACCCATCTGCAAAAACAAAGGCGATGGACACGTACGAAAAGTTCAAAGATGTAATAACATCAGGGTTTGGGATAACACTGGATGATGGGATGTTAAAAGGAGTCTTTGAACGGACAACTAAAGAGGCGTTTTACTTCCCGGACATATCAATTGTGGACAAAATTCAAGCCATGGACAAAATCGATATGCAAGGCAAAAAACGGTTTGCGGTTGTCCAGCAAGATTTGAGGAAGTTGAATGCGTACGCGCGACAAAAGGCTGTTCTGAGTAATTTCACACCATTCATCCCTGTCGCACCACAATGTGTTCCTCTGAAAATCTACGACTTGGTCATTCAAAATGTTTCAAAGACGATTTCGAAGATATTTGAAGAGGTCCAGAGTATGGAAAACATCAAAATGCTGTTAAAAACAGTGGTCGACTTGATCCATATCTCATGTATTACCGTCCACCCAACGAAAAGTTCGTTGATTGATATTCTTATTCAAATGATGCGTATGAATGAAGTCGAGAAAATTACACCAAGAAATATGGTGGCCGTACAAACGATGTTGATGGTATGCGGCGTCGAGTGCAACAATTTGGAAGAGTGTTGGGAAAGGTGTTTATCTTCTCTTCTACGTGTCGAACGAATACATATGATCGCTTCTGGATGGAAGGATGACGTCCCTCCCAAAATGAGCAAAGATGAGAGAATTTCCAAATTTTCTGTGTACAAATCTTCATACAAACAAGACGGTGACAAAGAAGAAATAACAGCAGAAAAAATTCCATCATGTGTATTGGACGTGGGAGACTCCGATTTAATCAATTTGTATAATACACTGGAACTTACTGATGAAGCGGTTGTGTACTTCTTTAAAGGCATTTGTGGTGTTGCGATTAAGGAATTGGAAGCGCCGATTCCGCGAATCAACATCTTACAACGGATTGTGATATGTTTGAATGCAAACATCACTCGCCCTGAAATGGTGTGGCACAACATCCTCAAACACTTGGTACCTTTTTACATCCGATGTGGGTTACATCCCGTCGAGAATGTTGCGATGAGTGTCATTGACAATTTGAGACAACTTACTATGGAAATAATGACGAAAAAAGAGTGTGACCTTCCAATTCAAAACGAGTTGTTCAAAAGTTATGTAGTGGTTGTGTCGGACCACCCGAGCCCACAAGTTCGAGATTTTGTGATCCAAGTCCTCCACCAAATTTTCACGAACAAAAAGTATTACGAGAACATGAAATCGGGGTGGGAAAGTCTGTTTGAGATATTTCTGTTTGCTTCTGTGGACTGTCCAAGTGTGTCGATTAACTCTTTTCAATTCTTTAAAAACGTTTTTAAAGTCTTTGAGAAGAGTTCTGAGTACGAGACATTTTACTTTGACTTTCTCAGATGTTTGAAGTCTTTTGGGTCTTTAAAATCAGTTGAAGAAGTCGAACTGCAAGTGCTCACGTTAACACAAGTGGTGATCACCAACCGCTTGGGAACAAACAAAGAAATTACTTTGAATGACCAATTCTATGAACAGCTCTTACCACTCTTCGAACTTTTGGGACGTAATATCCACTCAACGTATGTTTCTGTCTCGACGAGTGCGGTCGACATCTTCTTCACATTGATCCGCGAATTCATTCCAGTCTTCACACCCGACTTGACAGAAGTCATACTGAAAACGTGTATATTACGTTTGTTTACTATTGACGTCCCACAAAGCTGGGTAACCAACTCTGCGGAGAACTTGTTTCATAAAACGCTCGAGTTTCTTCTTGAGAACGCGACCTTTGTGTTTCTTCTCGAGAAGATCCTTGACTTTGCTATGTACGTCATTTACAATGAAGGAAACAATTTCACGTCTGCAGCACTGTCGTTTATTAATCGTTTCATCAGTGGTGTCTGTGAGAAAGGGGAAGAGAAGATGCTTGAAGTCTTTATTAATAAATTTGCGCTTTTCTGCGATTGCATTGTACAATTTGTCCCAAACTTTGAAAAGTTCCAGTCCACCCTGCAAACACCACAGAAGAGTCCAAGTGTTCCGCGAGTCGAGGTAAAAACTTCTGACAAAGCCGTCGACCTTCCAGCGAAAGTGATCAATGGAACATGTTCTGTGTGTACTAATAGCGTTGTTTTAGAGTATTTAGTGACATGCCCTATTTGCCAAAAGCAGAGATATTGCAGTCAAAAGTGTTATTTGGAAGACACTGAAAAACACCGGAAGGCATGTCTTGAGAGTGTCCATTTGTTCAAACTGTCAGAAGAAAACAATTTAGAAACGACAACAGAAACGACGTCTTCCCTTGTCGAAAAAGTCTCGGGGATTAATAACCTTGCGCAAGCCAT